AACCGAACTGTGAAAAACTTAGTATGCACTGGGAAGATTTTACTTCTACCCATTCCTATGATGAGCCAGTGCCCAGCTGCCGCGAAATAGGTTAAGATACGCTTTTAATGATTTCTATATCTTGATTTGTTCAAGTGGAGTATAGCAGAATATTCTTTATGGAAATCACCTATGTGAGTGAGAAGGGGCCGCTTCTAAGAGAATTAGGTAAACATGAATTCTCTAAAAATCACTCATGAACCAGGAGGTGTCCAAGGCCAAAATGGACACAAACGTGAGAACCAACTGCGTTCGAAGAAAAACTGTGTGACTTCTATTGTCTAGGTTTCCACAAACGGCTGACTGTTCAAAGCAACTTGCTACTGATTGGCTACGGAATCCGATAGATTTTACTAGGGAAAGTTCAAAGTCATTGACTACTTATCCCGATGCAGTCTTCTTCAACTTTTTTTTTGAAAAAACATATCAAATGTTATCGTTTGGAATAAAGGCCAACATATTTCATTCATGTGAGGGATTGTTGGAAAAAAAATGGTTTAATGGGTCAACTTTGAGCCCAAATTTCAGTGGGACCCACCTTTTAAATAATACGGGACCTAGCATATTCACGTTCTACTCCGCGAGATGATTAACGTGATATATTTATTTATCGATAACCATTTAAAATTGAATGAAATATTAAGTGTTAAAGTAACCCACATAAATTAAGGATTATGGAAGAATTTGATTTACCAAACACTTATCCCACATAGGAAAGTTAGGAAACTTTGGTGTGGTTTATAAGGTGGAAGTTTGGAATTGGGTTTGGGCCCCAAGGGGTACCAATAGTTTTTGGAAGGGGGAAGACCTATATCCTATTGGGTTCGGTCATAAACCCACTGCCGGTCCGGGTGGACCTTTACACTATATTAACTTTTTAGACAAAATTTATTTAAAATTTTGTCTTATTCCGAGTGTTTTATTTTCTTTTAACAGTCGACTGTTTGGTCAGTCGAAACAGTCGACTGTTTACCGACCAAACAGTCGACTGTTAACCGACTTAACAGACGCGACTTTTTAACAGTCGACTGTTAACCGACTTAACAGACACGACTTTTAAGAACAGTATGTCTGTTCGGATTTTTGAGGCTTGTCTGAAAGGTGATGACTGTTCGAATGGCCACGAACAAGTCTATAAATAGCCAGCCTTTCTACCAGAAAATTTACACCAT